GGCCGCCCTGGGCCGCGCTCGCCAGGCCGCGGCTGCAGGACCTCAGCGGCAGAGCCAGAGCCAGAGCCATCGCGCCCGCCGGTCCGCAGCGCCGTCTGTCCTTCCCTCTCCTTCGCCGGGCCTGTCCCCTCCCCTCGCGGGGCCGGTCACCTGTTGGGTCTGCGACTGGGCGGCTATTTTAGGGGTTTTCTATATTTAACACGCAGCCTGACCGGCATGCGGGCCCTCGGAGCAGACAGCTGCTGCGCCGCGCCTCCTGTTCGGGTTAGAGGGCGTTTCAGATACAGCACCCCGCTCTGGGTAGTGCGGGAGCGACTTTGTTCAACGCTCTGTTCCCAGGGGCAGGCGCACCGTCGGCCATTGGTAAACGTTTGTCGAGCCCTAACCGGTTCGGCTCAGTGGATAGAGCCTCGGCCTGGCCTGCGGACTCGAGGGTCCCAGGTTCAATTCCGGTCAAGGGCACGTACCTTGGTTTCGGGCACATCCCCAGTAGGGGGTGTGCAGGAGGCAGCTGATCCATGTTTCTAACTCTTTATCCCTCTCCCTTCCTCTCTGTAAAAAAAATCAATAAAATATATTTTTAAAAAAACATTTGTAAAACGAATTGTGTTTTTTTGAATATCAGTTTCTTAAATCTGTAAAATGTGTAATAATTTGTACTTTAAATTCTATTTATGAAATTTAAATAAAGTAACATAGGAGATACCAGCTTAGAATCTGGCACAAACCATACCTCAATAAATAGATTAGTCGCTGTTCTTTTTTTTAAAAAAAAAGATATTTCTATTGATTTTAAATATATTTTAAAATATATTTCTATTGATTTTAGAGAGGAAAGGAGCGATAGAAACATCAATGATGAGAGAGAATCATTGATTGGCTGCCTCCTGCATGCTCCCTACTGGGGATCGAGCCCAAAACCTGGGCACATGCCCTTGACTGAAATCGAACCTGGAACCCTTCAGTCCGCAGGCCGAGGAGCCCGAAGCTCTATCCACTGAGCCAAACCGGCTTGGGCAGTCACACTTCTTTGCAAAGAGCAGAACTCACCCTAACCAGTTTCTAAAAGACAAGCAGCCGAATCGTGGGCAGCTCACAGGACCTCCACGGAGGCCTGCCATCTGCACAGCAGACGCGAACCCTTCTGGGGCAGCTGCAGGCAGACACCACACGTTCCCGCTCTGGACGCTGGGTACCAAAACGTCAGCAGTGCTGCCTGGGAAAGCCAGCTCCTCCACTCTCACCCCCTCTTGAAAGGGCCTCTTCGGAAGCTGGCCCTGTGGTTTGCTGTCTTCTGGACCCGAGAATCACGTGGGCCCCACTGGCAGCACCCAGGCCTTGGCCTGTGCTCTAGTTTTGAGAAAGTCTAGGTAATTGAGTTTTGGCTGCTGCCTTAGCGGGGGGGCGGGAATCTATCTTGGAGAAAATCCCCAAATATAGGAAGAGGATCCAGAAGATCCTGGACAGCCACAGATCTGACCACTGCCTCCTGCTCAGTGTGTCATTTCAACTTGGAAAGTCTGACCACTTGGAGGGAATGAAGAGAGCCCCCGGGCCTGGGGCACGAAGGTCACTAGAGAGCGGCGATCCTGGGCACGGCAGACCTGCAGGAGCAGGTGCAGCACAAGCCCGTGTTTACCGAGAGCTGCGGTCCAGCAGGATGCCTCCAGCTTCGAGACAGAGCGGATGCACCTAACGTGAACCCACAAAAGGAAAGGGGATTTTGTGAGCCTAATCTAAACATGTAGAAGGAAGAAGAGGAAGGCACATTGTCCGAGTAAGGTTCTTTAGTAACCTTGTGAAACAGTCAGATGTTGTGTCGTGTTAAGTTGTCCCTGAGCCCTCGCTGAGCTATCACGGAGCTCTTCCTATAGCTTTTCCCAGTTGGGCTTTGAAATTACTGCTGAGAAGATGAGGCCTAATTTCAGTTAAAGTTACGTGGCATCTCCCTCCACTCAGCTCCCTCCAACCCCCTCTGCACTTATGATAAGGCTCTTGGAGAAATAAAGAGGGTGACTCTGGCCCGTTTGACTCCGTGGATAGAGCGTCAGCCTGAGGACTGAAGGTCCCGGGCTCGATTCCAGTCAAGGGTCAAGGGTCAAGGGCACGTACCTCATATCTCAGTTGCAGGCTAGAGCCCCCAATTGGTACAAGAGGCAACCAATCAATGTGTCTGTCTCACCTAGATATTTCTCTCTCTCTGTCTCTCCCCTGCTTCCACTATCTCTAAAAGAAATCAATGGGAAAAAATATCCTTGGGTGAGGATGAATCAAAAATAATAAATAAAAATAAAAATATAAAGAGGGGTGCTTTTACCTGAAAAGGTTCTTGGCTCCCCCTCTCCACTCGGAGTTTGTTGGTCATGGCCGAGCAGTTCCCTGGGGACCCCCATCCCTGTGTCTCAGTTTGGAAGTTGCCACTGAGCTTTGTGTGCTGGTGTGTGGTGACTGCCCTGGGGCCGCCACCAGGCCCTGCCGGTCACCTCCTGCCATGCCCTGTGGGTACCCAGGGGCTTCTCTTTAGTCGCCTGTGCTTTCCCAGGCTGACCATGGTTCTGTCTGAACTGCCTTTGTGTAGAGCGAGTGCGGCGCCGACCCTGCAGTGTGTATACTGGACGTTGTTTTTCAGGTTCTCACGCAAATTCATTGGGCTGCTGCCAACGCTTCCAGTTACTGGAGGTTTAGGTGTTGCTTTGCTTTAGGCAGAGAGAAGAACAAACTTACCAGTTGTTAAGTAAACCCTGTGGCAGCATCCCAGGCCCTTTCAAATGTTCCTCAGTTGTTGGAGGTGAAGGGGGTGGAGGGAGGCCTCCATGTCAGTTCTCTTGGGACTCCTTCCTGAGATGCTGCATATCAGGAGCATGTTTTCCAGCGCAGAGGGAATCCCAACATGTGAGCTACTAAATGTACATTTTGTTTATGGGGGCTCTAAGACAGCATATTTGACATTGGAACTGTTCCAGAAAGACAGCTGAGTGGTGATTCAGGACATGGTTAGCTATGAGGAATGGGAAAAGGAGTTGGAGATGACGATCAAGGTGGAGCCCCCAGTGGGCTGATGACAATAGTATGATAGGGTCTAAAGGGGGCGTTAGCTCCCTCTGCCCCTGAAAGGGACTGTGAGAGTGGACTCCTATCGTTCTGTGTCATCTGCCCAACGTACCTATGGCTTCTTCTCCTAATAATGCGCAGGATTTTCTGTGTGCTATCACCCACGCTCTCTCATTTTCAGTTCAAGGTTCACATGGGGTTGACTCCCTCCTCCAGTTCTAAGAGGGTCCCGTGATCCAGGGCTAGCCAATCAGAACATTCTGTTCTCCTGGCCATAGTGCTTGGTTTGGGAGGGGCACAGGACTCTGGGTTTCAATTTCAGGGCTTCTTGGACCATGGAGACACAGTACTTCAACGGGACTTGGAGTTCCAGGAGCCTCAGATTGAAGTACATTCTGAAGCCATTTTTCAGAGTGTACTGGGAAGATGGAGGAAGATCTAGCCTTGTTAATAGTATTTGAGCCGAAACTGGTTTGACTCAGTGGACAGAGCGTCGGCCTGCGGACTGAAAGGTCCCAGGTTCAATTCCGGTCAAGGGCATGTACCTTGGTTGCGGGCACATCTCCAGTTGGGGGGGGGGGTGCGGGTGCAGGAGGCAGATGATCGATGTTTCTCTTTCATCGATGTTTCTAACTCTCTATCCCTCTCCCTTCCTCTCTGTAAAAAAATCAATAAAATATATTTTTTTAAAAAAAAGAAATAACCATCGAGTCGCTGAATGGCAGGCAAAGTGACCAGGAAGACATGGGTCAGGTGCGGTCACTTTCGTGGTCACTTTAGTTAACTTTCCAGGTGTATCTTGGGAGAACAACAAGGATAAAAGAAACCTGAGTTAGCATAGAACACACACACAACACACGCAACATACACACACACACACACACACACACACACTTGAGCAACTGGGAAGGTTCGTTGATTCAACTAACGCTTACTAAGTGCCTACTGT